CGTTTTTTCTCTCTGACTGCCAGACGGATGAGATCAGGCCCGGAGAATGCCACAGACTGTGGAAATTAAAGCTGTCGATGGCCGGGCATCTCCTCAAACGAGGGGCTTAATTTGGGAACAGGAATGCACCAGTAATTCGATGGCGACCGCAAACAGCACTTTTTAGAAGACTGAGGCTTTCATAGTAGAATCTGATGTCAGGAAAAACCGTTTTGGAAACACTGCGAGAGAACTCCCTGTGTTTTGAGAAGAGGGTCTTTACTTATTGAAAACCCTCCCTTGGGTTTCATTTTGCCTGCAGATCTCCTGGCCGAACACCCTGAAGGATTAATTTGTTTGGCCTTAGTGATGTGTGGTCAGGCTAACAGCATGCTGGTTTTGTTCTTGCTCTGTTCCAAGGGAAACGGCATTTACTGCATTGGCCCTCTGGGACGTCTGACAGAAACTGCTTATAGGTATTTCATACCAAGAAAAATGTTGCAGGATTCATCATTGCCACCCTAAACATTATAAAGTTCTAATCTAAAGCTGAAAAAGTGAGAAGCAATATGTTTCCATGTCTTGTTCTCCTTTGTGACAGCTCTAAATGTGAGTTTTATGTGAAAAAAAGGAAGAACTAAAAGGAAATATCAAATGCTATCACGGTTAAAAAAGAAAAGTTTTGATGCCAACAGAGTTTTTCTGTTAGAAATACGGCAGCATTTAACTGCCTGAGCCAGGAAATAAATACAGGAGCAGAATTGCATTAAACGAGAAGCTTTCTCATTAGAAAGAAATACAAAACACATTAAGACGAGAAAGTTTCTCATTATAACAAGATATAAAAATAGTTCCTCTGACTGATTACGAGGCAAAAGGCATAAATCTGACTGAACAAACTGTGTTTGTAGTATGCGACTCTCAAACATCCTGCGAGGTGTTGCCGTTTTGCTGTTACGACCTTTCTCATTTAAACGAGAACATATTCTGGTTTTAATGGGATATAAATGTTGTTATAATGAGCGTGTCTCGTTTTAGTCAGATCCTGCTCCTGTATTTATTTCCTACCTCTGGTGGTTAAACGCTTCAGCCAGTGACTGTAGTGATTAGAAAATCATTAAATTCTGCTTTTATTGATGCTATTATTTTGTTGTTAATTTTACAAGGGCAGAAAAAGCAATGTGCTAAAATACTAGCAAAGTAGATACTTTATTATGGGCACTGAGGACTCAAAATTGTATTTCTAATAATAATGTCTGTATAAACTCATTTATTAATAAATAAAAAGGAACATTCATCCATCCATGAGTCCTACAATTTGAGAAGTACTAGAGTAAGGAGAGATTGATTCTCCAAACCTTTATTTAGTCAATTTAACAAAGCTTTCCTCCCAGATGGCTTTATTATTATCTGGCTACATACTCTTTTTTTTATTTTTTTTTTATTAATTTTTTTGTTTTGATGCTGACTGTTTTACTGCAGCAAAAAGATTGGTCACTAGTTTACTAACGAGTCAGACGACATCAACAGAGTGGAATGGAGACTTAGACTTTTCCCTCAACGACTTGAGAGCCTGTAGTTTCCCCATAGTAAGTGGCCAGAACTGCATCCCACAGCAGACCTATGGGACCAGCTGAGTTATGTAGAGGCGAGTAACTCTGCACCAAAGAAGCTCAGCGACCTGAGAGCGGTGCTTCAAGAGGAATGGGATGCCATGCCTCAGCAGACAATAAGTTGACTTGTGAACAGCATGAGACGTCGTTGTCGAGCTGTAATTGATGCTCAAGGGCACATGACACGTTATTGAAACACTTTTTTGTTGTGGCATACCCTACACTCTTGCTGGTTTTTGTTTCAAGCTCACAATAGGATTCTCCTACTTAAATGCCCAACTTTTATGCTGTAATTGGATTGTAGCTTGAACTTTTTCAATGAATTTCACCTAGTTGCCAAAAATCCCTAACTTTTTGTGAGTGGGGTTAATCAGGACCTTATAAGGTCTCGATGAAGGAAGAGCACAAGTTATAGATTGTCTCACCTGCAACATGTAACCTCCCCTTAGCATTTAAGCTGCAGTGTAGCTGGTGCTATCGTGGTGCTGCAGGTTTTTGACTGGGTTTAGCTTGAAAAAACAATGGGAAGGCACCTGCATCTGTATAAAGGTGCTGGTTCCTTGCAAGTTAAACATGCTTTCTCTCTGCTGTCTTGGTTTCCACTAACTTTTGAGTGCAAGTTGAGAGTAAAGAGACTTTCTGCTGTGCCCACACAACAGGCCACTGAGATGGTCACCATCAATCATCTGGTGACAGTCACCTTTATGTGTGAAATCAACATACTGTGCTAAATCAGTCCTGCAGCAGCACACATGTCTTGCAGCGTGAACTTGTTGGCCTGCTATGTGTGGAGGGTTGTAATTGTGCCACCCAGCTGTCTGTTGTAATCCTTCTGCGAACTGAAATGATGGAGGACGACAGATGGCTGTGCGCGCAGAGCTCTGGTTCTCCAAAACACACTTAGAGTGCCGTTCATCCCTCCGGATGACACGCAGGTTCGTTACTGATAAAAGTCAGCAATCGTAGCTATTTAAAAACACTGAGCGGATCAACAGATGGGCCTTTGGATCGGACTAATAAAAGGCTGCCTGTGGTTTCAGGATGGTTTCCAGTGATAAATCTGTGACACCAGAAAATGTCTTCCATCAACTACATTCATCTGACAAGATGAAGTGCAAATCGACCACAAGTATGAAGACTTTACTACGACCCTGCTCCATTTATTTCACTTAGACTCAATTTAGATGTAGATGTAATTACCTATATCTAAACTCCCCTCTTGAAAAAATGTGGAAATTCATAATTTTTAGATGAATTTCTTAATGTGAGACCACATGATGGATTTGATCCATTTGTTCTTGAGCCCAGTAAGGGACGAGGTCCAGGTTGTGCCTGGTTTTAGTTTGTCGTCCTGTGGAACCGTGACTGGACCAGGAGTTCACACACTTTAACAAGCTTCCTGCCATCAATCATCTTTAGGCACAGATATCTGTCCTTCTTTTTAAATTTTTTGTGAACTTTGACAGAAGACAAAACCACATCAGTTGAGGAACTGAAGCAGATACACTCAGTGGCCACTTTATTAGGTACACCCTGCTAGCACCAGGTTGACCTCCTTTACGCCTTAATGTCTTCCTTTAAACTTTGTGGCATGGATTCAACAGAGTGAAGGAACCGCTCCTAAGCTTTTGACATCAATCAATCAATGTTTATAATGCACGTTACTCTCCCAAAGTTTCCCAGCTAGCGAACAGCTCCATAAAATAAAGCTTTATGTACTTATTTATTTTTGAATAAATTATATATCACTTATAGTTATATTCTACAAACTAATATTTAACACTTTGGATGGAGAAGGTTGTCAATAAAGAAGCAATTTCTCCTTGGAAATAAAAAAATTCCAATATGTTCTGCAGCCAATGAGAGACAAACACAAACGAGTCTATATGTAATAAAAGCCTTTTGAAGGCATCATAAGGCAAATAAGTTTGGATTTTGCTAATTAATCTCAAATGACAAAAGCCACATTGAACTACTTCACTGATTTGTTTATCAAACTTAATAAATGCTAAAAACAAGTCAGTTTTTCCTAAAACAATCACCTCTTTTTGTTCCACTGATATTTTATCAACATCCAAATTTTAACGTAATTTATAGTTTACCAGATTGTGTACTGAGCGATTTCCACTTTCTCTCTATAGGAGTTAAACTTCCAGATGATCTATAAAACGATGGAGATACATGTCATATTTGACATGTAGCAAAAACGGTTCAGAGCCTCAGATGGAGCTAAGATGGGTTCCCGGAGCCTCAGAGGAGGAAAACTTATCCAACTGGATGCAAAAAAAAAAAAAAAAAAACTTCTGCAAGACAAATAGTAGTGAAACCAAATAATAGCTGATCCCTTATTACCACATTTGGATCAATCTGTCGGTGTTGAAACGTCTTAGACCAACAGAAAATCAAGGCAAAATCTTCTGAGTCTTCAGCTGAAAGCGGTTGTGACAGATTACTGATTCATTAATGGGAAGGAAGAAATCAGAAGAAAAACACAGAGATGGTAATGAGGGAACAAAAACGAAGAAAAGTTGGACTCAAGGAAGGATAAAAAAGGAAAAATGATGAGTTAGGAAGGTTCTGCTGGTGGCTGCAGCAAAACAAACCGGCCAAAGAGGGCCTTTTGTCATGTTCCTGATGTTTTGTTTCTCCTCACATGCAGAAATTATTGCTGTTACACAATCCACATTCTTGATTTAAAGCTGCAATAAGTCTGTCCTAAAATAAACCAAAATGAACAAGTAATAACTGCTAAACCTAAAAATCAAGAAAAGATAATTATGATTATTTGTGAAGCTGAAACGCATGATGGAAGTGATCTATATATTGTTTATTGATAATGAAGACGTTGTTTGGTCAAACTAAATAACAGCGGAAAAGCAATATTTTTTTCATGGGTGAGTGTATTTTGAAAAACCTGCAAATGAGGACCAAAGTCTTGCAGAAATGAAAAACTAGATGCTGGATATCTAAGAAAATTATTAGTTGATCTATTATGTTCATTCTTGCTGCTTCAGCAGTTTATTTAATGTTTTCCTTCTGCTTCATTTGCTGAGCTTTCAGTTCAGACACAGATTCTGCTCTCCAGCTGCCTGTTGTTTTCAAAAACACTAAATCATAAATGCATTTTTGTCTGCAGCTCCTGTTCTTTGTTTCACTATCTGCTCATTGCCTGTGTTAAACCAACACAAAATGATCCTGAATTGAATTGAATTCAGTGATTTGAAGCCTAGATATAATTTCTTGCTTTCTGTCTAAGACGCTTTGAACAACTGAGAAACTAATCTTTATTTGATCATTTATGTAAATCTCATTTGACCTAAAATACGCATTGAGGTAGTCTTACATAAAACATATTATTTCCTTTTCTACGTAAAACTATTCCAAAAAAAAATTCACAATCTCAAACCCTTGTCAAATAACATCTATTTAATAAATACAGTAGAAAAGTTTACATATATACAGAAATGTCTATTTTTTGCAGTTTCTCTGAGAAGATGATGAGTTCGGTTGCTTTTGGAGAGTTTAATGTTTCGTCCTTCTGACGGATTAGTGAAGCCTCCTAAACTGCTCTCAGGTGAGAAGTTTCTATCCAACTGGAATGAGATCTGGACCAAAATCCAGAACAGCAGTAGAAGATGGCTGGACTGAGGGATGGAAACAGTCTGTCAGTTGTCTGCTTCATTGCATCGTACCAGAAACCGGTCCAAGCACCTGAAAAACATGAAGAAAGTCGTCAGCGTGTTCCATTACTTTGGGGGAAAATATGACCGGCCGTGAGTCACTGTACGTCACTCGGGCACCTTCGCCTACATCTGTGCAGGTCCTGCTTACGTCTGCACTGATAATAGTCGTGATGCAATATTATCTTTATTGCCCTGGTTTTTTTCCAATGGAAAAACTTGACCTTTCATGTAAGGTCATCAGCAACACTCACGCCTTCTTGGTAGTTTATCTTTTGCCCTCAATTGTGTTTTGCAACCAGTACATCCCATTCGTGCGTCAATTTAAGCAAAATAAAAAAATTCACGCCATTTTTTTTCATATTTATATGATAAAAAATTAGCTCAATAAAACTTTTTAATCACAAGAAATAGTATTAAAAGTGTCAGAAAATCATACATATTTGTCATTGTATTGTATGAAGCATAATATTCATAAAAAAAGATGTTGAGAAAATGAAAAGCCCTTCAAGGGTTAAATTTGTGCGTGGATTAAAAAGAAACGCTCAGATATTTAAAAATATTCACTTTTTTAGAGCTTGTGTGCAAGTATTGGCCTCACCTCCTTCCAGGTCATCTGACAGGAGTATCTTGTCTAAGACGCTGAGTTTTTGTTTCCACAACATGCAGTCTGCTCATTATGAAGGCCATCAGTGGAGTGGAAAAGTTTTTGGAGCTCCTCTTGCTCTGAGTCTGATCTTCTTTTTGCTGCACTGACCTGATCCGCCTGTTATGTTCAGGAGGAACGATCAGTTTCACAGCCATGGCTTTGACACTGCAGGAATGAATCCTTCACATCAGAGCTTCTTGAAGCTTCGGCCTTTGAATGAAGTCTGTGACACGGTCAGCTGAGTGAAAGAACGGTGTTGGAACAACCCAGATCAAAGTCTTGTCTTGATTGGATCGATTGAAGTGTCACATTTAAGGGATCTGTCGCTGGGAGGGACAGATAAAATCTTCACTTATCTTTTTGACATCCAATCAGTTCTTTGCTTTTTTTTTTTATAGGAGCCATACATGGAAATGTGTTTCTTTTTCCCCCACACAGACCATTTACAGAATTTAGGTGAACTGGATGACCTTTTTTAGTTTGTGAGCGACCGGATAAAGGTTGTAACCATCTGCAGAGTCCTTCCACATGTGTGTAAAATCTGCAAAACTTAGTCATGAAAATAAAGAGTTTTGGTGGACTTTTATTTTGTCCCCAAATTGATGTTATGCATTTTTAATACGTTCCTTCAGAGGCAGACAGCTGCAAACAAACAGCAAATGACAAAATATGCTGTAAACATAAATGATGTAAACTGCAAAACACAAAGGGATTTTTGAAAATAAAAATTACTCTTCGCAAAAAGAAAAAAAAAGAGAGAGAGATAGACTGAGGCCATTATCAACTATAGTGCTGTTCTAAAAACATAAATAGATTCACCATTCTGCTTTAGCTGTAAAATATGTGTTGCAGATCCTTTTGGCTCATGAAGGCCCAGGGATCAACGGTCACAGTCTTGTGTTCATTGACTACGTTGATGCCATCGTTACTCTCCAAGCACCAATAAAACTCTTTGTTGTTCTGCTTGAGTTGGTGTGACTGAACATGAATGTATCCAGAGTTTAAATACTTGAATCAATCCAGTAAAGCCAGCATACAAACATGTTCATTAACCCTTGCAGGAACATTCTCCAGACAGCAGAATAGTTTTCTGAGGTCATTATTATCCCCAGTGCTTCCACTTCATGCACCAGGGTACAAACAACTTACCAGGGTAGATAGTTGCCTTCAGAGAAGCCCTGGTATGGAAATAGTTTTGGATTGGAGATGTCGGCGGACACTGCCAGGCATTTCAAATTGGATGTATTTTTCAGAATTTAAAGCAGACTTATGATGTTAACTTTGCTTTAAACTCTGCAATAGATTTTAAATTACTGGCGTTTTTTTTTTTTACAGCCGTCTGGGAGAAAAAAGGGAAAACTGCTTAAGAAAGTGATATTTAAGGTTATTTTTCAGGCACCAAGGAAAAACAATTTAAATTCTTGGGTTATTATCTGATTCTTCAGAAGCAGTTAACAGCTTTGTATAGTGAATATGTGTGAATGTTACAGATTTCATCATCATTCAGTTTCACAGTGTAGGCCCCTTGTAGGAACACTTTGGTCGACAATCCTAACATGGGAGCGCATCGCAGTGAGCTACCATTCAGCTACCATGATTGCATTGCTCTTCACTCCAGCGGAAACATTTACCAACACTTGGCACGTTATTTTCAAATCAAGTTCACCAAATGTTCTCCAAAGAGAAAAAGGCGTTCAGAGACAGACGCATGCATCAATGAAGAAGGTGCCAGGTATCATTATGAGACATTAAAACATGAGAGAAACAGAGCATGAATGCAAAAGGATGTGATGACAGTGCCAGGAAAGCTTTTCATCCATCAAAAACTAACCTTTTTTTGTTTTTGTTTTACTCCCAAACTCCCTCAGGGCTTCTCGCTCCCGTTTCAGATGAGAAGTGGTGGGAGTCGAAGGATTTGCCCACTCTCGTCTCCACGTTCGCAAGGCCGACTGCAACCGGGAGTGGGAGCAGTAAATCAAGTTGAGGGAAAGCTGGCAGAGAAAGCAGGAGAAGATATCCGGTTATATCTTCAAAGGGTGCCAGAGGAAGAACATTAGATAACTAAATAGTCCACCAGGAACGAGAGAACATGGTGAAAGTGGAGTTTCAGTTTTAGTTTTCTCATTGAGCTGCTGAAACGGATTCTCTCTGAGTTTTGGATCCAGAAGAGTTCTGCAAAAACGCAAAATCTTACCAAGTATTTTTGGTCTAGTTGATTGTGCAAATATCTTAGTTCACTTGAAATAAGATAAAACTAACTTACAAGTAACTGTTCAGCAAGGTAGAGGTGATTTTTAAGAGAATAATTACTTAATAATGATTAAGAAAAATGCTACATTCACTGGCAGCTTCTTTCACTTATCACAAGACATTTTCCCACATTACAAAGGAAATAATCTGCCACTGGAACTTGTGTTTTTTGATCTATATGAAGGAACCACTGACTTAAAACAAGCTCTTATGTCTTCGTTGAAAGCTGCTTGTAAGTTGGTTTACTAAGATGTTTGCACAAGAGACTAAACCAGAAACACTTGGCAGCGTTTTGTGTTTGCTTTACTTCTCATATTCCAAGTTGTCGCCTCCGATTTGACGATCCAAAATGAAAGTTACAGATAAATTGTACCTTTATTGATCTTAGGATTCTGAAATTTCTGCAAGCTGTTACACAAATCATGCTGTTTCTTCATTTTTACAGAAAAATCCTAATTTTTAGTGGGTTATTACAAGATTCCTAAAATATTAAAACAAAGTATTTTCTCTTTAGGTTATATTCAGACACCAACTAAAATGAACAAATTATGTTCTCATCCTATGATCACTCAGCAGCTGGGAATATGAGCATTTGTGCTCGTGTTGCACAGTGAACGTTGCTCATTTTTTTTCCTGGTTGGTACCCAGACTGCGGAAACTGGCACCGCACAGGCTCAATTATAATATCAGGTTGGATGTTATTTCTGTTGATTGTCTGCTTTTGAAGAACCAGCCTTCCCCTCCAAGTTCACTTCCTCTCCTCCTCCCGGATGAAAAGTTTCTCTTTGATATCCGACTCGCGTCTGAGGTTAATGAATGAGCTGCCCGGTGCCCTGCTTAACGTTTACCCTGGCTATTTGGGGCACCGACGCACACACACACACGAGAAAGTTCCTAGTATTTATTTTTTTTTCTAGCATCAATTACTGAAAACCAAATACTAATAAACAAAAATCAAAACGTGGAATTTTTGTTCCTACGAATTATTTAGTTATTAAGTGTCTGGTTTCTTTTTAAACGACTCAAAAATCATTCACTTAAAAAAATAAAGTTACTTAATTTTAATTGGAATCAAGGCAGAAATGTACTTGTCTCCATGTTTGAATGGCTCTTTGGTAGCTTTGTTGCTTTACTGTGCGATTTTTCTTGAGTCGTCTTTTGTTCTGACCACATTCACACACTGTGCTTTCAGGGTCAGACAGACGACTGAAAATGTGTGAAAAAGCAGTCAAACTTTAAGGAGGAATTGTGAAAGATCGTTGTAAAACCTCAACAACTGTTGATCGAAACCAATTTAGAAGATCTGAAAAAGTCTGACTCACTGGAAGCAAAATATGAAGAAATGATGGGTAGTTTAAAATGTAAAGTGACCCTTTCTTGTTGAGCTAAAGCCTGGAGTCAGTAAGTTTATTGGCTTCTGTTTATTCTCTTGCTCTCTGAGAAATAACCACAGCTTTTCTGTGGTTTTTTTGGTCACAGATCAAATGGTACGAGCCATTTTCTTACCACTTTGGCTTCGTTCATTGATGTTCTGTCATGCAGAGGAAAACATGACCACGAACAAATTGCGTCTGGATTTTTGGGACAAGTTGTTCCTATTGATTTTCCTCTTTATTCACGGTGGAGTTCTCAGACAAAATTGTGAATAAGCCCACTTTTTTAGATGAGCAGGAATCTCGGGGGACGGATTGGACATGGATGCTTTACAGCTGACACCCGCCTTTTTTTCCCTCAACGACACGATTTTCCTTGCTGTTCCTGCAGATTTGAGTCGATCCTTGAAGGTTTTCTTCGTCGTCGGGTGATTTCTTGCTGAACTTCTTGTCCCCAAGAAGCTAAAACTCTGCATATTCTGCTGCTTTCTGGACTTCCTTTCAATCTCACTCTCAGCTTTTTATAATCTATAAAGCCTTTCTTACAGCCCCTTTTTGTTTTTTTGTTGTTGTTTTTTTACATTTAATGCAAACTGATGACGGCTGGATAGCTAATCTGTTGCATCTGTTCCTCTTTGGCAATCAATCTGATAACTGGATCGATGAACTGTTTCCAGCTGGACTCATTCATCTGCACTGACTCTGCTGAATTGAAGTTAGCTTTTAAATTTGGGCAAAGCTGCATAATGCATCCGATCACATCCAGTGATCTAAAATCAGTGACACTTCACCTCAAAACCTGAAGTTGCAAAGACATTTAGATTTAATGTTTGTGCTTCTGCCAAATCCTTTGGCTGCGACTATAGATCTGAAGCTTCTGCTCAGATTTGCAAGAGCAAATAATGTGATCCAGTGGGTTTGTTTCCTTAAGAAAATGCATTCCATTTTTCTGTTTTGTTTTTAAATCCCATTAATATTCTTTGCGTATTGTTTTAAGGAGGATAAATTTGATCTCAAGAAGCTAAGAAGCTGATTTTTTTTTTTTATCTCTCTGCTCATCACTAAAAGGGTTATGAGAACTTTTCAAAGTTGGGTTACGTTCACCTCACCCAGACCTCAAGTTAGCCTTGAGCAAAGACATCTGGTCAGCCAGGCTGGTTTCAGAACGGCTCAGCTGACAAACATTAGTTGCATTTCTCCTAATGTTTGCACGCTTGACTTAAATTTGCTCTATCTGGTTTCTGGTTGTGCGACATGTTTCCTTTCAGCATCCGCAGCAGAGAAGACAAACATTGCTGCTACGTTACTGATGTCTTCAGGGGTATTCATTACTCATTCAGAAATTCAGTTGTAGTTTTGAGTTTGATTTGGAAAAAAACAAAAAAGTTTCTCTTCATTGTAGTTTTGTTTCCCTTGGTGCATAGTTGTGAGACTGTCGAGTCCCATTTGGGGAAAACTTGTATTTTGCTTCTTTCTCACAAGTATAGAGTGAATTTTCCCATCATTCCTCACTGATTTGCAGACCCCACATGCAGCCTTGTTGACTGTGATTTGTTATATGCAGTCTGATGTAAAACATTTTCTTTATTAATCACCAGAAACACTTTAAATAAAACGTTACATATGGTCCCACAGCATTTGGTCACCCTAATGCAGC